ATGAGTGAGTTGGAAGGGAGCAAACATTCAGAGGCCAAAGCCTGTGTTAGAGCAAGAACCCCGACTAAGAGACGGTGGAGGCTGACCGTCTCCTTGACAGCAGTCGACGAGGCTGGTGACCTTGGGGTGACCTCGTAGCCTCAGGGGGCAGGGGGCTGGTGACAGGTCCCAGGTGGCCGTCTCACCCACCTCTGCGTGAAGGAAGACCTCACGGAGGACCCCAGAGCCTGTGCCCCATCAGACGGCTGTCACACACGTCCCACTGCCTGGGATGAGTCTCCGGCCGGATTTCTGGGGAGGGGTCCCGTCTGGAGGTCCGCGCGAAGCCCCAAGACGGGGCGAGGTCCGAGGCTGCTGAGAAGCTCTGGAACAAGGTGCCCCTGCTATTGGGAGGGGTAACCGGCCATGCTCCGATGTGCAGACGCCGGGCCGCAGACTTAGCTGCTGTGGCTGCACCGACCGCCCAGCGGCAGGACCGGGCTGGCTGGGCAGGGCTTGCTTGCGGGGGTCAGACGTTACCTGCTTTCCTTGACCTTGTCTACACTTACAAACCGCCTGTTTAACAATCCACTCTGCAGCCCTCGTGGAAAACGATAGCCTCCACGCAAATTGTGACTTCCGGAATGAACTGTGTCTGGAGGTGAAGCTAACCCTTGGCGTGATTTTTATTTTCTATGTCGTCATCATTAGTATTTCATGACTTCCGATTTGCACGTGGTTTTCATAAATACTCTGCTTCGAAAAGGACCTGAGACGCGGATGCCTCGGAACAGAGGACATTCTAAGAAAGTGGCCTCGGTGCAGGGAGGAGGGGACAGCTGTGAGGTGTCCCCCCCGCCCCAGTCCATGGTCACCACCGTCCAAAGCTCGCCAGCCTCTCGCCACCGGGGTGCTAGAACCCCTGCACGGGACGCTCCGTGTGACCCGTCAGAACTGCAAACACAGTTCAACAGGGCTTTAAAAAAATCCATTGTCGAAAATTATCTTGTGATGTCTTTTAAACAATTTATGGCCCCAGTTTTTATCTCTTACATTAGAATGTTTTTGAAACCCTCTTGCTCGTGAAGCAAGCACTTGACCATAGTGCCAGCTTCTCCCCCCAAATTCCTCAACTTATTTAAAAAAAAAATCCATTCAAAGGAGTTACACTAGAAACCAGATGTTTAGAGGATTTAGGAACAGAGTTTATTTTCTTAAGGGAATAACATTAAAATCCACAGAGTTTTAGATAAAATGACCCGGCTGGTAAGAAAGAAAAGGCATTCATCTCCAAATGACACACGGAGAATATTATAATTCTGGTGGCCCTTTAGGGCAGTAATCATGAAGTGATCCAGAAAATAGGACCATCCGATCCGCAAACAGAAGCAGACGTGCCAGGACATGTTCCCTTCCCTGCATCCATCTGGGGGTGTTCTGTGCGCCTGTGGTCAGCATCGGATGCCAGGCCTCTCTTCTCGTCTCCTGTCTCCCCTCCCCTCCCCTCCTCTCCCGTCCCCTCCCGTCCCCTCTCTCTTCTTTCTTTAAGATCTTGGGAAAGAGAAAAACAAAGTATCCTCAGGCGAGTTCAAGCCAAAATGTCACCACCAATGAAAACTCTAAAATCTAAAATGCGACACTCTTAGTTCCTTCTCCTACGGATAGTTGAGATTCTTTGCTCTTAAAGACCTCACTGATTTCACATGAGGAATTAACTGCCTCGCCACGTTATCAGGGAAGAAAGTCCTCAGGTTCCTGATGCCATTTTTGGAGGTGAGATTAGGTGTGTGCTTTGGGCACATTTACTTGAAGTTCTTGGACAGCAAGAATACACAGAACGTGAAATGTTCTGGAGATTCGTTTGTAAACCTTTGATGTGAAATGTCAAGAAGGTGAGCTGCCGAGGTGGGAAGGGGGTGTGGTGCAGGGAGGAGGAGGCAGCCCGGACGGTAGCCGGGACAGCCTTAGAAAGGCGCCGAGCCAGCTTCACGGACGGGCGCACCAGGAGCAGAGACGCGGTGGCAATGTCCAGGTTGTGGGCGCTGCGGGTTCCGCTGTGAGAGCAGCACCTGTCCGACCCAGTGGGTTGAGTGACATCATTTACTGCAGCTGCTGGGTCTCCACAAAAAGCGGCTAAAGAGGAGGAATGATCTGGAATCTTCTGGAAACACACATGTGCTGGGAAATGTCATCGGGGAAGAGACCAGCGGGTTAAGAGTCCACACCTTCTTGACCCTGTCCCCTTTGGGCTTCTGCGAGGACACTGGGTTCTGTAATCCGCCCATGCCTGGGGACGTGCGGACTTTGCTTTCTAGTCAGCACTGTGACTGTTAACGTATCCCCCCCACCTCCGTAACCAAAACGAAGTTTTGGAAAGATGAGATTCGGTGAATTATTACCTTTTCCGTGGTGTAAGTGTTGCATCAGCTCGGCTGCATGACTGAAGTTATTTCGGGAGGGGAATTGGGGTTTGGGGTGACTCACCCCGGTCTGTGTGGCACGTAGCGGGTGGTCCGTGGAGCCATGACTGCAAAGTGCCTCCTGAACGGAAAAGGGGCACCTTGTCCTTGGGCGACAAATAACCTCCAATTTCTGTCTTCAGTGGACAAGTCGGCAGCAGGAAAGGATAGTATCTGTGCTTCTGTGGGGACTTAGAACCTCGCTCTGCTCTTGCTTTCTAGGTGGGGATCAGAGTCTGCAGCAGTGACAGGAGTGCGGTTTTCTTCGCCGAGCCTGCTTGGGATGCTCTCTCGCTCCCTCTCTCTGCCCCTCCCCTGCTCATGCTCTCTCTGTCTCTGTCTCTCTCTCTTTCTGTCTCTGACTCAAAATAAGTAAATAAGCTTAAAAAATTGAAAAAGAAGGGATCACAAATCAATGACATTCTTTTTTTAAAAATATATTTATTTATTTTTTTGGAGAGAGAGACAGAGAGTGAGCAGGGGAGGGGCAGAGAGAGGGGGAGACCCAGAATCCGAAGCAGGCTCTGGGCTCCGAGCTGTCAGCACAGAGCCCGACGCGGGGCTCGAACTCATGAACCGCGAGATCATGACCTGAGCCGAAATGGGACGCTCAACCCACTGAGCCCCCCAGGCGCCCCAAATCAATGACATTCTAATTCACGTCTCCTAATTGAGCTCATAGGAACATCATGTCCTGACCAAAAAGAATCCATTTGCCTATATTCATTGTTTGTGTTCAAAAATAGAACAACCATTGTTTTTACACACATGCCAAATACTCCTCGAAGATGTGGAAATTGGAGAGTTCCCCTTAACCGCTGGAAGAAAAAAAGCCAACGATCCCTGCGGAGGCTGCTGACCGGTGGCCAGGGTTTGCCGTTCGTACGAGCTCCCTCTACCTTAAAAGGTGTCGAATACCAGTTCCGTGGAGATAAAATAATGCCATTTATAACTTTTGAGAAACGGAAGTGTTCACCCCATTTAGAGAGACCTCTGTCCTGTACTGTAAGTCGCTGCTATTACGACTTTATCTGAAACTATTTGCTCTTAGACGAACGTATGGGGAGGAAGAGAAAGAACTGTGGAGAGTCCTGACTACCCGGAGTTCAACGTGCGAATGCATTTCCTTCACTCCGTTTAGAGGAGCTTCTCAGCCGGCGTGTCCCGACATGTTCCAGCACCTCGTGCATTGCCAAGCGGTTAGAGCAGGTCAGAGGACAGAGTGGTCAGATGGACGGTGGATTGAAGGGCGTCTCAGAGAAGCAGAGATAGACTCAGCCACACGTTGCTGGCCCTGGGCGGGTAGATACCCTGTTACAAGTGACGCAGGAAGTTCTCTGGTGACAAGTTGTACGCGTTTCTGCCAGGGTTTTAATTTCAGGCACGGGGGCTTTTATTTTTTTTTCCTACTGGGAAATCCTGCTTCTCTACGGGCAGAAAAGCTCATCTGCCTGCTTCTTCTGACGCAGCGTCTCTGGGAGAGCGATGAGACACACTGTGCACCGGCCGTGGCCAAAACGCCCTTCAAGAAGGAGGAGGACACACGTCTGTGCTGCGCAAACTGCGTCCCCCTGTCCTGTCGATGGCCCTTCTCAGCACAGGGCTGTGGACGTGAACACGGGGTTCTCAGACGCTCATTCTGTCCCCAGTCGCCACTTTCGTGCTTGCCTCACCCAACTCTCGCCCAAACTGTGAGAAGCAGGATGGATTTCCTTGAGGGCCCCTTTACGTGTCCCTGAGGCCCCCGTGGGACCAAATGACAAGAATCCGTACAGGAAAGAAAAAGTGGCCCACCGGGCGGGGGTGGGGGGCAGGGGGCTCGGATGGTTAGGCGTCCCAACTCTTGGTCTCAGCTCAGGTCCTGACCTCACGGTTCGTGAGCTCAGTCCCTGCATCGGGCTTTGCACTGAGAGTGAGGAAGCCGCTTGGGATTCTCTCTCTCCCCACCCCTCCCCCTCTCTCGCTACCCCTCCCCCCGTCTCTCTCTGTCAAAATAAATAAACTGAAAAAAATAAAATAGGCACAAATAAGGGGGGTTATGTAAAGCCCCATGGTGTCCCGACTTTCACAATAAACCCCCGTGTGACAGGTACCCTCCCTCACCAGGAAGTAGAGATAGCCCGTCACCAGGGATGGGAACCTTTTCTGCTTTTCACCCCAGCCCAACTCTTCTTCAGAATTCCTACCTAGTGGAAGTTCCCGAAGCCAAGCTTTCTTTCTCCGGTCCGTTCCTGACAGATTTATAGCCCTTTTGTCCTTAAAGAATAAAAACCGCCTATTCTGGTCATCTCTCTGGGTCTCCATTTCATGATTGGGCCTCTGTGCGCGCATAATAATACTTTGATTTTTCTTTCCTCCTGTTGATCTGTCTCATGTAAATTTAACTCCCAGTCCAGCTGTAAGCCTTGAGGGCAGAGAAGACTTTTTCCCTCCCTTCACCCCGGTCCTCAAAACCCGTAGCATTACCCAACTCGTCGTAACGTCAGTGTACGATGAAAGCGTGATGCATGCGGGGGACCCCGTTGGTTGGTGCTTTCATCGTGTGTCACTGCTCTCTTGTAGGAGGAAGGCACCGTGAAGGAGATCGACATCAGCCACCATGTGAAGGAAGGGTTTGAAAAGGCCGACCCTTCCCAGTTTGAACTGCTGAAAGTCTTAGGACAAGGATCCTACGGAAAGGTAAGTTGGAGCTTTGATTCCCCCTGAGTGAGTCTCACGCACTAGATTGTTGGGGAACAGGCACGATGGCAGAGTTGCGTCCTGGACACAGGAAGTGTGCAGGCCCTGAGGCCTCGGGAGTGAAGCTCGGGGGGGGGCCCCCCCCCCCCCCCCACCGTGTACGGCCCCGTGTTAACAGCAGCCCGCACTACACGCGGGATCGTGAACTCACTCTGCACAGCTCCGATCCGGTAGCATGGGGCTGTGCCAACCAGGACTGCCCGGACCCGCGGGAATACCCCACACGGTCCCCTCTCCTGAGACGTCCCTGGACGTCCGCTCATCACGATGGTGACGAGGGTTCTTCGACCCAGCCAGTGTCTCTCGGAAAGCACACGCTCAAGAAAGGAGAAAGCGGTGCCCTTCAGGGCTGGCCCTCAGGAGTCAGGAAGGCCGCGACTTGCCCCTGGGCTCCTCTCCTTACCCTCTGCCTCTGTTGTGCACTTACTCTCTCTCTGAGCCTCGGTTTCCCTGTCTACCAAATGGGGGTGAGGAGAACTATGTGATTATTGTACCGATTGAAGACGGCTAGAATCCCGTCAAGCGCCGGCTAAGCCGTATCTGTGCACAGGGTTGCGTCCTTTCTTACCTTGCGAGTGCCGGGACCGCTGATCCCTCCCAGGGGGTGAGATGCGGGCGGGTCCACAAACGGCAGGACAGCCGTGAATCTTTTCAGTTACGAAGACGTGTGCGTCCTTCCCGCACAGCGCGGACTCCTTTGTGTCCGCGGCGGAACTGTTAGACATCTGTAGACTCTGACAACCTGATTTCTGGAATATCAGGGCCCGAGAGAAACAGGAAAGCCAAGCTTTCCTGGGGTGTCAGCAGAGCAGCACCCTGCATCTTCCAAGTAGTCGTTTTTGTACGGACGTTCACCAAATCTCTCCATTCCGCGTAGGACTTTGTGCCAAGATGAAATCTGGTGCCTGTTGGTTTAATGTCGGATTAATACTGTGTTAATGATGTTTTGGAACATCTCTTACAGACCCTGAAGATGTGATTGCGAAATTTATCTTTTGACCTGCTTCTCAGGTGGAAGGAATGTGTTTTTCTTATTTCTTTTTCACTTTCGTACGGTGACATGGTAAGGAACGCGTCGGATGTGGGTACAAACATACAAGTTTTGAACCGTACAAAATTACCAGCATTCAGAACTTTGCGTCCTACAAAAATGTCTACTTAACATGGTTCACAGGGTATTTTTGGAAGTAGGGGATGAAGATTTCGGTCTCTCGGCCTCAGAAGCGTCACTGAAAGCACAAGGCAGAGTCGGTTGACGTGGTGATGGAACGTGTGCCGTTAATTAGAAATGTCAGAAAAAAGGCCAGTGGTGCAATTGTGTCTCTGAGGATGATGGTTTCAGAAAAGAGGTGAGCAAACGCACATACATTCCCCACGTTTGTTTCCTGAGGACGGATTCGGCCCGTGGGGCACACGACCCGCCGAGTGACCTCGTGTGCAGCGTGGGGCCCGGCCTGGTGGGCGGGGCTCCTGCGTGTGACAGAGTCCCCCTTCCTTCACGGTGGACGCGCCCAGCACCGCAGCTCAAGGTGCTTGGTCGCGCCATGGATGGGACCGTGCTCCTGAGCTCAATGGAGACGCGGGCCTGGGGTTCTGGGGGTCCATTCAGAGACTCGACTGGACAAGACGTACCCTTGAAAATGCCCTCCCGAGAGACCTGGGGGTTAAAAGTGAAAGGCGAACAGGCTTCGTCCAAGACGCACCAGATTTCAAATTTTGAATTAACCATTGGCTTTAACAAAAAACCATCCTTTGGAAAGCAACGAATGAAGTGATGTGTTTGATAGACTCCCTCGAGTGACCGTCTTTGGACTCCACACCCTTCCTCCACGCCTTCCACGCCCCTGGTCGCTTTACGTTCACTTGTGCCGTGACACGTGTGGGACCGGAGGGTACAGCTCGGCGGGTCGTGATGAACGAGAGAAACGAAGGGACGAGGCGGTAGCTGCTTGCACGCGTGTTTTGACCTCCGCCAGCGACTTCACTCCCAGCTCAGCCACTACTCGCGCGTTGGGCCAAGTCGGCGGGGCCTGGAAGTGAAGCCCGGGATTCCCGGGGGACGAGGGAGCCGAACAGACGAGCCGGGACTCCGGAAAGCTCCCAGAGGTGCCGACGTCCGGCACTAGAGAGCCACAGACACAGATTGTATTTGCCCACTCGGGGCTGCCTGTTCTGAAGTTGTCATCAAAGCAAAAGTAACGGCAAGGGGGGCAAAGCCGTGTGTTCTGACACCCCGTGTTATTCTCTTCTTTGTCCCTGGATGCGGTTTGTCCTTATGCAGAAGTCCTCTGGCAGTTGCTCTCTGGCAGAAACAAAAAGAGCAAACCGGAATGTTTTCATCCTGCAGAAAACGCACGTTGAACAGGTGTCCCTTGTCACCTCCGTTCCCAGGAGCGGAGAGCCAGAGTGAATCTGGAGTGCAGCGTCCCCAGGCCACAGCGACCTGTTACTGGGTCCCTCCATTCTCCGCCCCCCCGCCCACCCCTGTGCAGGGACTGCAGGTGCCAGCGACGCAGCAAGGAATAAAACGTGGTCGCCTCCACTTGGCCTCGGCACCGATGCCTACTTTCCGACGGCAGGCTCTTCCCGGGGACCAAGACGGACTGTGCTGTCCTGCCCACCGCGGGGGTCCCGCCGGACCCTCCCTCAGCCACTGCTCCCCTGGTGTGCATCCCAGACAGAGGATGGGTCCCTGCTGGGGGCGGGTCCCCGTGCAGGACCACCCAGAGGACGGCGTGTGCTCCCGTGTCCGAGTCAGTCCTGCAAAGTGTAGGAAGCAGTTTGCCGAAGCAACTTGCTGGGAATAATGGAGACCATCTCTGGTCACTGATGACGTGTCGAGACATCGTGATTTCGGGGGTATCCAAAGAGCTGGGAAACACTGGTGCTTGGACAGGAGAAACAGCCTTGTCCTCGGGCAAGGTGATTTCAGCATCGGGACAGGAAAGCAGCGAACGGCTGGAAGACACGGCCATGTGTCCAGGTGTTCAAGTGCAAGGTGCAGACCAGGTGTTCCTGGAAAGTCTGGAGGAAGGAGAGGCCCCGGAGCCGCCCGAGAGTCAGAAAGCGACGCCCCCCCTCCGCCCCATCCCCTCGCCTGTTCCTTGGGGTCCCTCGTGTGGATAAACACCAGGGGTCCGTGTGGAAACACGCTTTTTTTTACAATACTCAGGGAAAGGATTACAATCCCCACGTTCGGAGAAGCGATCAAACCAAGCGAAAGCAGGCTCCTGTTTTCCTTCTACTAAACTGGGAGCACGTAAGATCTTCCTTCTGAAGACGTTGTCACCCTGCCGTCCCCTGAGAGGGCCCAGCCACCACCCGGCTGGAGGACTTTGCAGACCCTTTGCGATGTTGCAGCTCTTGAGAGAGAGCTGAAGAGTTGGCCGAGAGAATCGGGGAGGGCTTTTGCTGATGACGGCAGCACCTGCAGATCTGGGGCGATTTAGGGTGGCCCAGCACCTGTGTGTCCCCCCCCCCAACGTCTTTGCGTGTCACGTGCCGAGCCGCTGAAGAAGGCAGTTCCCAGAATGCAATGAGGGAACACGTGACAGCCAGCTGGATTAGAGATGAAAGTCGGCAGCCGCACTTGCTGAAACGGCCCGAGTTCTCGAGGACCTACTTCACTGCGTCCTAAATGCCGTGTGTCCGGCTGGCGGTCGGGAGAGGCAGCCTGGGCTCGTGAGCCCGTCTGTTCTCTCGAGGTCACGTTTATCTCCTGTTAGGTGCCCCGCTCGCCCCCAGGGTCCCTCCTGACGCTGTTCTCGCAGTGACCCCGGGGCCTGGCGCAGAGTGGGGGCTCAGACGAGCGCCGAGAGAGTGGCGTCTCTTCCAGTTATTTTCAAAAATAAAAATGCAACTCTTTTTTTTTTTACATTTTATTTATTTTTGAGAGAGAGAAAGTGGGGAAGGGGCAGAGAGAGGGGGAGACACGGAATCCGAAGCACAGAGCCCGACGCGGGGCTCGAACCCACGCACCGCGAGATCGTGACCCGAGCCGGAGTCGGACGCCCCACCGACCGCGCCGCCCAGGGGCCCCTAAAACTACGACTCTTTTCATGAGAGAGAAGCCGTCACCGTTATCATCTCATTTTTTTAAAGCCTGAGATACAGTAGAGAAGGAGGTTTATGAGCACCTGTTTATGCAGAACTTGACATCACGGGAGCTCACCTCAATTGTGGCAGCCGACGTGCACTTGGTCTGCAGTGAAGCCTTCGGTGGCGTGGGGTCCCCTGCCCGTGAGTCCACACGCGTGCCCTCCCGTACGTTCACACGTGCCTTGCACACACCCGCCCGATATGGCAGGGAGGAGGCAGAGGAAGGAATGAAACCGGAGGCGGAAAAGATCGTTTCCGGATGTTGCACAGCCGTGAAAGAGGGGTTTCACTGCTGTTACTGGTTGTCTGACTGGAGGAACGCACGGAGGTTCGAGGAGCCACGGCCGAGCCTCTGCTCGGCGACTCTGTGACCCTGGCGGGCTCGCCGCGTGGCCCCGTGGTCCCCGGTGCTGTGGCAGGGGGCTGCAGCCCGAGCGTTTGGCTCCTGCTCTGCGGTGCTCTGGCCCCAGAGGGTCATGCTCCTCCTTTGCTCGAGTCTCAGCTGTCTAGCTAGCAGCCCCTCCCTGCCACCCACGCCTGCCCCCCATCCCCGCGCCTTCTGGGGTGCGGCGTTCTCCTGTGTGTTCCGGGCACTGACGCTCAAGCCCCTCCGGAGGGCCCCCAGCCTCTCCCACCTGATCAATGGCTTGTGCCCGTCCCCTGAATCCTGGGGTCTCCCCTCCACCCACATGCCCACACCAGCTGGGGGACCGGGTTTGGAGACGTGGGGGGACCTCCTGCATGAGCAGAGACTGCAGTCAGAGGGCTCAGGATGTCAGACAGTGAAGTTTCCCTCCACACACCCCACCCTTCTGACCACTGCTGTTGATTTTCTACCTGCCTGCCGGGAGGCTCGTCCCCAGCAGAGCCCTCGTCTGCAGGGACTGTAGGAGGTGATTGGTGTAGCCGTACCTGCTGAGGGAGACTCGGACGCTCTCCCCCGGGGTCTGGGCCACAGGCTGGTTCACCCAGACAAACAGCACCACCATGTGGGACACGTGTACACGTAGACACATCCCGCGTCCGCCAAAGGTGACAGAATAGTCCAAATCCGAAAGGAAAAGGCACCCGCTTCTAACTGTCCTCACTCCGGGGGGAAGCGTCCGGTGGGGCCAGCCCGTTGCCCTCATTCTTGTCTGGGCGGCGGAGGGGGTCTGTTTGCGCTGACCCTGATCCATCCCGGTCTGGGGAGGGTGCTGTGACCTGGGTGTGGCAGCGGTCAGGAGGGAGCGGGGCAGGAGGCAGCCGAATCGCCTCGAGGGCACTCTGTGGACTAGGGATGGAGGCGATGACCCCATCAACCCACACCCGCGTGCGGGGACTTTGTCTTCCAGGCCCAAGAACGTAGACGCCGAGCGGTGTCCTGTGAGGAAAAGGACCCTCTGTTCCCAAGCTCCTGCCCTCAGTCACTTCCCTTCTCGTCACTGTCCCCCCTGAGGGCAAGGCTGTGTGTGCAAACCCCTCGTGCTGGCTTCTGTCCCCGGCAGGTGACGCTGCAGCCACCCTCCCCCCCCAAACACCGTGCCTCGTGGGCTGGGCTCCTGGAGCTCGCCTCCCCCGCCCCTCCGGCAGGTCCTTCGGCTTTAGGAGGCTCCGTGGGGGAGGCGTTTTGGGGAGGGGGTGAGTCACCATCACCCTTGCGATGGCCTGTCCGCTGGATGGCGGGTGTCCTTGGCATGGCCGTCTCGATCATGCCAGCGGAGTTTTGTGTCTATCGGGAAATACCGTTGATGCCCCAGGGAGGTGTGTGTGTGTGTGTATTTTGCTAATTGTGTTCAGCGATCACGACCATGACCCTGAGCTCACCGAGCCCCCCCCCAACGATTGTCCTTCCTTTTTCTGGTTTTCCTTCATGTTGCACCTCAAAATGTGTCTCAGAATCATTAAGGATGCACACAGTGTACTAAGAGCCGTTTAGAGGCTAACTCTCTGTATAAATTTAAGCTGCTCAAAGCTAAAATTTGGGTGAAGAAAGCTCAAAATGAGAGAACCCAGTTTATCTTCAGAATCAGACTGAACCGTGTGATTGGCCAGTCAGGGTGGCCTTCTCAGTGGGGATTTACAAAAGGATATTTAGAATAAAACAAATGATTTTCCTTAGAATTTGTGAATATTGTTTTTCTGTTTTTTTTAAAGTTTACTTATTTATTTGGGGGGGGGGAGAATGAGTGGGGGAGGGGCAGAGAGAGAGGGAGACACAGAATCTGAAGCAGCTCCAGGCTCCAAGGTGTCAGCCCAGAGCCCGACGTGGGGCTCGAACCCACAAACTATGAGATCATGACCTGAACTGAATGGAGTTGGATGCTCAACCGAGTGAGCCACCCAGGCACCCCAGGAATACTGTTTGGTTTTGTAAACAACTCATCTTTTTTTTCCTGATACAAGATGTTTCAGAGAAAGTTAGCGATACCAAAAACCAATGATTCTTCAAACGTGTAACGCTGTGCAGTCAGTTAGATGAAATTCATCCCACTTCGATGTTGGAGAACGTTTTAAGTGTAACATTTTCCGATGGCGTATTTATTTTACTGGATTCCACCCCCTCCCCAGACTCCCTCGTAGATCCCCTTGTCGACGCAAATAAGGAAAATGAGTTTCAACTCTTACCAAGTTCGGGTGCTGTGTGTTCTCTTTATCAGGTGTTCCTGGTGAGGAAGACCAAGGGGTCTGACACGGGACAGCTGTACGCGATGAAAGTCCTTAAGAAAGCTACTTTGAAAGGTGAGGGCTTCACGAAGGGGCCGCTGTGTTTGGGACGTGCAGCCGCGGTTTCTACGCTGCCTGCCATTTGCGTGAATACGCGTTCTGTTTGCTGGTGCGTGGTTTCTGAAGCTGTCTCTAAAGGAGTGTGTCAGACACGTTACTCTCTAACCGATGGTAAACAGTAGAAACATTCCCCTGGATATTTAACATCTCCCTGCAAAACTTCCACGATTTTCAGGGAGAAGAGCCATATTGTGTAAATACCGTTCCCCCACATATGTTCTGCCGCGGCGTGCCATTTGGGAAAAAGAACATCGAGGAGGAAAGCAGGAGCGGGTTGCGTGGCTGCCTGTGGACCGTGACTCAGCTTGAGTCTCCAGTCCCACCGGCTTGCTCACTTTCAGCGACACGTGACTCGTGGCCGTGTTGTGTCCCGGTGGCTGGCGGTTAGAGTCCAACACCTGACCGTGGAGCTCTGTGCCCCTGCCCTCAGGGAAGTGTAAGCACTAAACGCAAGGTCAGAACAAAACTGCATCCGAGACCCCCATCGCTGGCTCCCAGTCGCCTAGCCCACAACACATACGAACTAGCACCTGCTCCCGCTCCGATCCCTTCCAGTGACCCTGTCGGTGAGGGAGGGGCCTGTCCCCTGAACAGTGGAAGACGGTCGGCCACCCACACCAGGCCCTGGGCAGGTGTGGCACAGAGTTATTGGTCACATACAGTCCTCACACCCTGGAGAGGAGGGTATGAATGCCAGGCTGGGCCGCA